CAATAAAGCAATGGCTCTCTAGTAGTGTAATTTCTATTGACTATGTCAAGTCAAAAGATAATATTGTGGATCCGCTTACTAAGGGTTTATCTAGAGAGCAAGTTAAGCATACATCGAGGGGAATGGGTTTAAAGCCAATAGAGTAAAATGAAACTGCCAAATGGACACCTAACCTAGTTGATTGGAGATCCCATGGTCTAAGTTCAATAGGCAAACTGGTTTGGCTGGATTCAAAGAAGAAACACACTTACATACCCATTCCTATGATGGAAAAAGTGTGGTGACTGCTAATGAGTGTAGGATACATTAGTTTAATGATATTGATACTTGTAAATCAAGTAGAATAGTAGTAGCCTCAATATCACCTATTAGAGAGTAAATGTGGGGTCGCATTTATGAGAATTGCATGGCTACATTCTCTAAAGCTCTCATGAATCCATGATTTGTTTAGGACCAAAAAGAACACAAACGTATGAATTTTTGATGTGTTGGTGTGGCATGTTTTGCTTATTGTCTTGGTTTACTGCGGAGATGAACAATTCAAGATTTTATATTCACTGCATCATCTAGTAAATCCGATAACTATATACTAAGGTAGGTTCACGTCCAAAAGACACCTCTCCTGATGTATGTCACATCTATTGTTTACTCTCGTATCTTAGTTTCTCTAGGACCACATAGTCATCTCAAAATGTGGGGTATTGTTGGAGTTTTGAGACTCTTAGTGTCCCATATCGGGGAACTAAAAAGTTCACATTGCCATTTATATAGGTCTAGTCCTTTGTTCTAGTAATTAGAATTTGGACCATTTGGAAATGGATTGAAGGTTTGGGCCTTATGGTTGTGTCGATTAAGTTTGTATAATATAGCCTAATACAATTAATATTAATTAATCAAGATATTAATATTAATTTCGGTTTAATTTTATATAGGTCTAGTCCAAGTTCATTAATTTGAATTTCGAATTAAGTTTTTTAATTAACATATTAATCAAGAAACGTTTGATTAAGAGACACAACTCTTAGAAAGAGTTGTGTGTTTTCAAATACGCTCAACAAGTATTTGAAAGGGTGTGAAACAACCTATATATTTGCAATCATAGTTTCCAAATAGAATAATCATTTTCTTCCTCTTTCTCTTCCGTACAAAATTTCCAGAGAGTAAACACACAAAACAATTCGCTAGAATTCTATAATCTAGTGCGGGTTATAGAATTAGGTAGTTGTATCATGGTCGAGCAGACGTTGTAGAACCACAAGCACAAGAGTGGGACTGAAATACTATTCGAAGGACATAGCTTTTGCGTTAGCCTCTACCTGTGGTTAATCAAGTTAATACCAATTTAATTCCTGTATTTATTTCTGTTATTTCATTCTGTATGGCAAGTATTTTTCGTCAATAAAATATTTCAAGTTCTGTTATTTATGTTGTTCTTATTTATTTCTAAATTATTCTCCAATATAAAGTAATATTTCTTTTTGGTTGCTTATTATGGGTATGCACGTAAGAGGAATTGATAACTGTTTTGAATAAAGATTTACTTGTTGTTTTATATGATGGGTTTGACATATCTATACATGTAAGAGAAACTCTAGAGTTGATTAAAATTATTTTTGCATATTATATATGTTGGAATTCAATTATTTGTCGTGGTAATGTTTGGTACCATGTCATGGAATTGCCTGGCGCCTCTTACTTACCAATATCTAATTTGTAGAGACCTATTTGGTAATCGTGTTCTTCTGCATGCAAACAACTGAAAGAACTCCTTGAACAAAATTTTCTACTATTCCAAGGTTCGTTTACCTTGCTTCATGTAATACTAGTTAACTTTTTTTAGAAAAAAGTTAGAGGAGAGTTTTAAACTATTACATTAATTTAAGGGAGGAAAAAGTTTCTAAATCGATTGAGACGTGTTGGTGAATAGTCAACACTTTATCCACTAAGATATTAGATTACATGTAAATATTATTAGTTAACTAGAGATGACACAAAACATAGTAATTGAAAGTTGAAAGTCTATAAATGTAACTTGGAAAAAAAAATTCCTCACAAACCTTGAGTATTTGCTCAATTATATAGGGTATATAACAGGTTCCAATAATACATGGTTTAGGGTTTATGGTTATAACATGCATGCAGAAGTTTTGCACTACAGACTTTTTTTTTAAGACTGCGTTGCAGTATCACATTTCGGGTACAAAGATATCAAAACCAAACCTTGTGCCTGTGAATCATCCAAATACTAAAAACTTAATTGGTATCGGCCATTACTTGCAGTTCTCGGAGATTTTACATTGTGACTGTCACACTGTTATGTCTTGTTATTAATTCACTTGTGTTAACATGCGTGTATTTATTTATAAATATTATACCCTAGTGTATGATATATCAATTATGATGTCCACTCTGTTATACACGTGTCACGTGTGATCGTTAACTATACTAAAAATTGCTTACAACTGCATCCTGAGCTTAATATGTTTCAATGAGAAATCTCCTAAACCCTCATACATAAATGAAGATATAAAGTAGTAATTAAAGAATGGTGTTCATAAAAAGTGGGAGTATTTAACCTAATTAGGACAGAATCATTCTACACATCATGCATTATATATATATATATTCCAGTCAAAATGGGACTTTCAGTCGTATACCATGAAATTCAATTTTTTTTTCTTTTCAGAGTAATCCATGTCGTGTAAAAGGTTAGCACACATCCAATAAACGTTCAAACTTTCAAGGTCGTAGTTAATGCTTCCCCGTCAAGCCTTACTTCTCAGTTCTCAGTTTGCGAAGCAAGCAAATGAATTGATCAATTCTCAACTTTATCACTCGGTTAATTTTATTAATATTACCTTATTACATATAATACAATGTATATATAGTTTGCGAGATATTCCATGTATATATAGTTAAATACAATGTATAATAACGATCGAAATGACATGGAATTTTCTGAGGTGATTTTACAGATATATATATATATATATATATATATATATCTATATATATATTGGTGAAACCCAGTTTCTTCTCGTAATATTTGTACGACTCATTCAATATCTTACCTTTTGACACAATAGTCAAAACAAAGAATAGCTTCATAAAATATTATTGGAAAATTCAACTCATAATATAAGTTGGTCCATATATATAGAGAGCTCTATAGTCCTCTATAATTCATTCATTCGTTCTCCATCTCTTGTTTGCATTGCATACAGAGAAAGAAGAAAGAAAAAAGAAAAATTATCAATTGCCAAACAAGGAACAACATGAAGTTTTTTAATATGCTTTTGGTGGCCATTGTAGTGGTGTTTCTTGTGAACATGCACTCACACGAGGCCTGTAGAGTTTTGCAGGGGAAAAAGAAACTCATGATGATGGAGGATGTTCTGCAAATTAGGGATAGGGGTACTACTGTCAAATACAACTTCCCTATGAATTTCATTATCAACCAAGTACTGCAGAAGGGTTCTGCCCCACCCGGTGGCTCAAATCCGACCAACCCTTGAAGTTGTAACAAATTAATAAGACTCGACAATGGTGGGATTCTTGCATGTCATGGCCAGATGACGAGTACAATACTCACATGAAAAATGATGTCGACGATTTTATCCTACAAAGAGGGCCACATCGATCCACATATCAAATTTTAACCATCAACCAAAGATTCTTTTTTTTTTTTTTTTTTTTTTTTTTTTTTTGCAAATAATATCAAATAATTCTATATTCTTTCTAATGAATAATTAAGGAAAGACCTAACTATTGGTTCTTTGTTTTATCTTAATAAGTTGTGTAAGCTGTAAAAAAACTGTGGCTATCAATGTATATGAGTTTGACAGAATATAATATAAATGACTGAAGAAATTCTTTATTTGATAATGTATTTCATTTTTACAAATTTTTTGTATGTGATACGATGCAATTTATACTATATATGTTTGTAAACATTGTATTAACTTATCAGTGTTTTATTATTGGGTTTTGGTTTTGTTGTACCCCCCGCGTTATCCGACTTAACTTTGCCTTAAGGGAGGTTGGCTCCCTTTCTTTCTAGGATGAAGCTATATTCCTTTTATGGTTTGAAAAGCTTTAAATGTGCTTAGCCTATTTAGGATTTCATTTGTTTTCAGGAAAGGAAACAAGCCTATGACAAACAGTATAAATCTAGGGCTTAGTATTTTCGACACATCAACGTATAATTTCCTTGAGTACTTGGCTTTAGGCTTCTTCCATTGGCCTTGTGTGTGTTTGTTGCAAAGTAGTGTACGCTTTAACTTATTTCAGTGATCAAGATGTTTGAAGTAAGTGCACCAACCCCAACAACTAAAGGATGTAGATTAATGCAACCGGAAGATGTCTCATGCCCACTAGCACCGAAAAAGTACCGACCTCGTAATAATGGAGTTGATCCTAAGAAAGCTCCAAAGCATGATTTGAATAAAAGCTTCAATGAAGAAGCAAATTGAGTAAAGAAGGAATATTAGGCTACCAAGAGAAGGATGGAGTTCGAGTTAAGCGTAATTAGGAGTTGAGAGTTTTATTTGTTGTATTTTCTTTGTTTGGTTATCCTATTATTATGTTACTTTTTAAGACATAATTTTTCTGTTATGGTAGTTATAAGGAGTTGATAGTTATGAATAAAAATTTACTTGTTATGTAATCGATTTCATGTATCCATACATGATATGCAGTTAATTAAGATTTTGACATAATGTTGGAATTCAACACATATACAACAGATGCTAGCCTTTTTCTCTGCCTGCAATCCCAGAAAACTCCCCAACTAGAATTATTGTGATCAAACTTTCCAATAAAAAGTACTGCACTTGGCAATTATTTTACAATATTTATGAACCAACACCGAAATAAATTTGAACCAGTTGTTCTAGTTTGACCACCCACATAGAGCAATGAGAAAGCAAGTTATTCAAATGAAAACAATACAAAACTAAAATCCTTGCATGATGATCAACTAAGCTTGGAGCTTTAACGTTCTAGTAAACTTCGGTTTTACCCTGCTTCATAACATAGTTGATAAAGAACTCTTTATATTGAAAGGGTTTATAGTGTTGTGGATTGCTTGCACTAATAAGAGCTTCCGCAGGTTCTACAATGCAATCGTCTGAAGGCGCGATGAAAAATGCAGTAGATGTCCTGGAATGGCTTGAACTCGTCACCGCCCGATGTTCAGCACTTTTCAGCTTCCCATTACTGATAATCTACATCTCATGTCAATCAAAGAGAAAAGGGTTTTCATATGGTAATTAAGAAGGGTGACTACATATGTGGGGAAATATACTCAGGCCCTCATATCGACATGATATTGACAGCTATGTATTAACGTACCATTACTACCAACTATATCAACAAAAACATGATGATATTGACAGCTTTGAAAACTATATATAATCTTCCCCGTAAAGAAGGGTACATATGAATCTACTGATGTACCTGTAGCTGATGGCCAATGTTAACCACCAATGCTTGTGAAATAGGCTCCACACTGATCCTTTCCCCGTCTTTGAAAACTTGAAGTCCATTTACATGACCTTCTTGAAGTAAAATGGTTATGAGGTTTGGATCACAATGTTTAGGCATACCTAATGTCAAACTTGGGTCCAAGCAAGGCAAGTAATGATTAACTGTGAGTGTCACATTATGGCAAAGTTCATCCCTAAAATATGCAGTTCCAAGCCCAAGTCCTTCACTTATTAGCTCCAAAACTTTCATAGCTACTTTTCTTACTTGTGCAGAACATGTCCCAACTATTAACCATATAGATTTGGATTAGAATGAGTTTGTTACATTTGGATTAGATTGAGTTTGTTGAAAAACAGTTAAAGTTAGAATTTGTTGAAAGGGTAAAAGTGTAAATCTGCTCAGTATAGTTTCTATATAAGCCTTGTGTAGAGACTTAGAGTAGTATCATGTAATCATAAAGCTTTCTACTATTCATTGAAAACAGAAACGTCTATCTCTCTCTTTCTTTCTACTTGTTCTTCGTTTTCTTTAGTCTCAAGATTTCATTGATTCCTTAAGAGTTAATATGGTATCATCGCCGGCATTGGCTCACTGCCGTTGTCGATCCTAGGTTTTCCGCTGCTGCAATTCACAATCGAAGCGTTGCTGAGGATTTTGCCGTGAAGTGAAGTTCTGAAGATTTGGGGTGTTCTTCATCACAAGCGTCGATTCAGGTGATATTGTGTCTGTTTTTCTACTGGGTGATTGGGTTTCAGTCCTGATTAGCTGTTCAAAGATTTCCGAATGTTGTGTGTTTGTTTCTGCATTCTTGTGTTTGCCTACTACGGGAGTTTCATTCTCTCTTGATTCATAAGAAAGTTTCAGTCTTTCTTGATTACTACGGGAGTTTCATTCTCTCTTGATTCCTAAGAAAGTTTCAGTCTTTCTTGATTACTGCGGGAGTTTCAGTCTCTCATTTTCTTTCTTTCCGGAGCAAAGTTGGGTGTGTTTGTAGTTTGTTGAACGGTTCTGTTTTCTTGCATTGAGAAGTCATGACTAATCCTAGTGTGAAAGTTGAAAATCTGTTGGGCATGATAACTATCAAATTGAAGGAAGATAATTTTGCAAAGTGGGCATTTCAGTTTAAGTCTGTTTTGAAAGGGTATAAATTGTTTGGGCATTTTGATGGGACTCTTGTATGTCCACCCAAATTTGTCATTCATCCTGAGAGAGGTGTTACTTCTGCCCTTACTGATGCGTATGTTGACTGGGAATCCACAGATATGGCATTGTTGAGTCTTTTATTAGCTACTTTGTCTGATGAGGCTATTGAATATGTTCTTGGGTGTGTCACTGCATGTGAAGCTTGGTCAAATCTTGTGGATCGATTTGCTTCAGTGTCTAAATCTAGAGTCAATCATCTAAAGACTGAACTGCATACAATTCAGAAAGGGGGTGATTCGATTGATAGATATCTGTTAAGGTTGAAAAATATAAGGGAACAATTAACTGCTGCTGGAGAACTCATTTCTGATAATGATGTGATAATTGCTGGGTTAGCTGGATTACCAAAAGAATTTGCCATCATCCGAACAGTCATATTAGCTAGAGAGTCTTCTATTTCTTTGAAAGAATTTAGGGCTTTGTTGCTTGGGGCAGAAAAAGAGATTGAAGGTGAATCTAGTGGTGTGTCTAACAATCTTTCTGCATTATATGTTCAAGGGTCTCAGTCTACTCCAGGTGCTTCATCAGCTTCGGGTTCTAATCCTGCAGGGCATAGTCATTTACCAGAAACAACAGGAGGTGTTCTTACCTCTTGTCCATACCCTTATTCTGCTGATCCCTATATGCACCAATATTCATCCCCATTTGTCCTCCCACAGCAATATCCACAACCATTAATTCCTCAACAGTTTCATCCTCCAGTTCATTCTTCTATTCCTTATGGTTTTGGTTATATGGGTAATGCTCCAAATTCTGGTCCCAAACCTCCATTTATGCAGAAGCCAAATTATAAGGGTAATTCTGGTTATAAGTCTAACACTGGTTTTAAAGGTAAGGGTTACAATACCAGTTCTTCTTCTGGATATTCTTCTGGTGTTTCCAGACAATATGGTTCGAGTGGGTGGCATGGGAATACTGAGAACAGGTCTACTACAGTGATTGAATGTCAGATTTGTAACAAAAGAGGACATACTGCGGTTAATTGTTTTCACAGAAATGGTCAGGGTCCAAGTACTGGTTTTCACATGGAGTGTCAAATTTGTGGGAGACGTGGTCACTCTGCACTTGACTGTTATCACAGGGGCAATTATGTTTTCCAAGGACAACAACCTTCTTCCAATTTAACAGCAATGGCAGCACAGCAAACTGAACAACATATATCTCAAGATGCTTGGATTGTTGATACTGGTGCATCTCACCATATCACTGCTGATGTCAACACACTGAGTCAAGTCACACCATTTCAAGGTTCTGATACAATTACAATTGGCAATGGGACAGGTTTATCTATTGCAAATACTGGTGCAACTACAATTAAAACCAATTCTCATAATCTTGTTCTTAACAATGTTTTACATGTGCCAAAGATAGCCCGAAGTTTACTCTCTGTTCAACAATTATGTGTTGACAATCATAGTTGGTTTATCTGTGATGAGAATCAATTTTTTGTGCAGGACAAGAAGACAAGGGCCATCCTGCACCGAGGAAAGAGTAGAGCCGGCCAATTGTTTCAAATCCCTGTTGTCAAGCATTCAAGAGGAGCACAATCTGTGGTTCAGGAACCTTCTGTTTTTCTTGGGCAGTTAGTCAAATCCAACTTGTGGCATCAACGGTTTGGTCATCCGACTAATGAAATAATGTCAATCATGTTAAGACAGTCAAACATATTAGTTGATTTAGATGCAAGTCATAGTATATGTACTCATTGTATTCAAGGAAAGATGTGTAGACTACCTTTTTCTCCTAGCAGTGATCGGTATTGTTTTCCATTTGAAAAGGTGCATTCAGATGTATGGGGTCCTGCTCCAGTCAAAACAGTAGAAGGGTATAGATACTATGTAACTTTTGTTGATCAATATACCAAATATACTTGGATTTTTCCAATGTATAACAAATCAGATGTGTATAGCATTTTTCTGAAATTCTATAATCTTGTTCTTACACAGTTTGGTATTGTCATTAAGTGTCTACAAACTGATGGGGGGGGAGAGTACACAGGTCATTCTTTTAAAGCCTTTCTTGATGCAAAAGGTGTTGAACACTTGATTTCCTGCCCATACACTCCTCAACAGAATGGAGTTGTTGAAAGAAAACATAGACATATAGTAGAAACTGCCATAACTCTTCTTGTTCAGGCTGCATTGCCAATTGAGTTTTGGTACTATGCTTGTGCACATGCTGTATTCTTGATCAATAGAATGCCATGTAAAGGATTGTCTATGGAGTCACCTTATAAGAAATTGTTTGCCAAGATCCCAGAGTTAAAAAGTTTGAAGGTGTTTGGGTCAGCAGTATATCCTTGGTTAAGACCCTACTCTGTTCATAAGTTACAACCTCGATCTGCCCAATGTGTGTTCTTAGGATATTCTATTGGCTATAAAGGTGTGATTTGTTATCATGTTTAGACTAAGAAATGTTTCATCTCCAGACATGTTGTTTCTGATGAAAGTGTCTTTCCTTATGCATTGTTAAAATCCTCGGTTCAAGATAATGTTCCAGTTCATTCTCAGTTTAGCAGAGTAGTGGTCCCAATTCCAGTAGTTCCGAGATCTTCAAATCATGGGACTTCAAGTTCTCAACATGGTCAGGAAGCATCTTCTTCATCATCTCCTGCAGTTCATCATGATATACCGACTTCTTCAACCACAAGTAGTCCTACCACACGGGGATTTGAAACACAGGCAGTTTCACAAACTCTTTCCTCATCTCCATATGCAGGTCCCTTGCTTCCTGTCCTTGATCCTGCTCAGCTTCAGGTAATTCTTTCTTTGCCTCCACCACATACACATTCTCAATCACCGTCCTAGGACAATGTTATTCAAACTCGACTTAAGACTGGTGCTATTGTGCGGAGAGATTACACATCATTTCTGGCTTCATTACCTCAACTAGAATCTCTTCAGTTTCTGGATAGTAATCCTGGGGAGTCCAATTGCTCTTTATCATGTGGTTTTTCATTCTTGGCTGACATACATGAAGTAGAGGAACCTCAGAACTTTAAAGCTGCATCCACAGTCCCTCAATGGCAAAAGGCTATGCAGGAGGAGTATGATGCGCTCAAATCTCAGGGTACGTGGAACCTTGTTCTTCCTCCAAGTGATAGAACAGTGATAGGGTGTAAGTGGGTATATAAGGTAAAAAGGAATCCTGATGGGACAGTGTCAAGATACAAAGCTCGATTGGTGGCTCAAGGTTTTAGTCAAGAGCATGGGGTAGATTATTCAGAAACATTTAGCCCTGTGGTTCAACATTCAACTGTACGACTTATCTTGGCATTGGCAGCACAATTTCACTGGAGTTTAAGGCAGTTAGATATTAAAAATGCCTTTTTACATGGCGAACTTGAAGAAGAAGTGTATATGAAACAACCTCAAGGGTTTGTGGATCCAAACTGTCCAATCATGTGTGCAGATTAGTCAAGTCTTTATATGGCTTGAAACAAGCTCCAAGAGCTTGGAAGTCCAAGTTTACTAGTTTTTTACCTGCTCTCGGATTCAAAACTTCGATGTCTGATACAAGTTTGTTTGTGAAAGCTGATGGGAGTGATGTTATTTTGCTCCTGTTATATGTTGATGACATAATTCTGACCGGATCCAATCCTGTGAAGATTCAAGCTGTGATTCACAATCTTGCAGATGTGTTTGATTTAAAAGATATGGGTCAGTTGACATATTTTCTGGGCCTTCAGATTCACTATAATGCAGATGGTTCTTTGTTTGTGAATCAGTCAAAGTATACGAAGGAATTAGTGAAAAGGGCTGGAATGGAGCATTGTAAGCCAACCTCAACACCTTCAAAACCACACTCTCAATTACTTACAATAGAAGGGATTCCATTGTCTGATCCTACACACTATAGAAGCTTGGTTGGAGCCCTACAATATCTGACTTTCACTAGGCCTGATATAGCACACTCTGTCAATGTCGTATGCCAATATATGACTAATCCTACTGAGTTACATCTGCATCTGGTCAAACGAATCATACGGTATCTGCAGGGTACAGCAACCTGTGGTATCCGATACACTCACTCTTCTGATTTTCAGATACATGCATACTCTGATTCTGACTGGGCAGCAGATATTAATACAAGACGATCCATTACAGGCTATGTGGTTTACTTAGGTTCTAATCCGGTTTCATGGCAGTCAAAGAAACAGGCAACGGTCTCTCGAAGTTCCACAGAGGCAGAGTACAAAGCCTTGGCACATTGTGCTGCTGATGTATTCTGGATTCGCTCTATTCTGAAGGATGTCTATCAAGTTCTTACACTACCTCCTACTCTACATTGTGATAATCTTTCTGCTCTAGCTTTATGTTCTAATCCAGTGTTTCATTCGAAGATTAAACATCTTGATACGGACTATCACTTTGTCCGAGAGAAGTACAAAAAGGAGATCTTGCTGTTCAGTACATATCAACAAATGAGCAGGTCGCCGATGTGTTTACTAAAGGTTTGCATAGTCCAGTGTTTCTTCACCACTGTGCCAATCTTCATATTGGCGTGCCTGAAACTAATCCACAATGTTCTCAACTATTGCAAGTGCCGACAGTAGCAGATCAAGATCCTATCCATGTCAACTCCTCCTCATTGTCATGATCATCTATTTCTTCAATGCTACAAACACAATTCGGGAGATCCCAATTCTGTTTGAGGGGGGAGTATTAACCATATAGATTTGGATTAGAATGAGTTTGTTACATTTGGATTAGATTGAGTTTGTTGAAAAACAGTTAAAGTTAGAATTTGTTGAAAGGGTAAAAGTGTAAATCTGCTCAGTATAGTTTCTATATAAGCCTTGTGTAGAGACTTAGAGCAGTATCATGTAATCATAAAGCTTTCTACTATTCATTGAAAACAGAAACGTCTATCTCTCTCTTTCTTTCTACTTGTTCTTCGTTTTCTTTAGTCTCAAGATTTCATTGATTCCTTAAGAGTTAATACCAACAAGATATCTGGAATCCATATCATCAAGAATTAGTCTTTGTAGATATAAAAATTTATATGTCACATATAAGCATAAAAAAAAAGGTTTTCAGAACATGAATCTATATATCTTTGGTACCTGTATCTACTTGGCTGTTGGGGCCCCTGCTGCAAACATTCCTTTAGAGGATGGCAAGGGAGTCGTAGGTAATCACGCCAAAAACGAACATCTTCCAAATCAAAATATCCACTGCTGGTTGAGAACCTGCAGTTTTTTTTCGGGTCGTCAAAGTAGAAGTTTGCCTTCTCTTCTTCAGGCAAGTCAAATAACTCCCTAAACACACCCATCGTGTCGTTCAACAAACTTTCTAATATGCCATGGTTGACAACCTGCTTTCTAAGTAACATTAATTGGATGACGCATAACATAGTAATAGAAAATCTGAAGCAGTGGTTACTCGTTGATCAAGGAAGAGTATTTGAAGTCTCAAAAAGTTACCTGCAAAAACCCAAATTCCTGGCTAGGCTTGAGTATTTTCTGAATTTTATAGGTTTGATCACCGCCTTCTGCTCCACCTAGGTCAATCATTGGAATGTTGTCTCGCGAATGAGCGGTAGTAAGATTCCCATGTCTTGCATCCGGTGGGAATATGTAAGTCTCAAGCAAGGTTTGACCGTTGTACCAGCTTGAAATAAGCTTCTTCATTCCCTCAATGTGTATCTAGCCTTGAAGGGAAGAACTAGTGCGCATATAAAGCTGAGAAATTGCTTTCAAACTTACCTATGATATACAGTCACCATCCATATACTCCAAATTTTTTATATCAATTTGGAATAAAGATAATGTTTTATCTGTATCAATTGACTTAATAAAGGCTCACATAATGCAGACAATCTTGTAATTAAATAGAAGACATAAACAATACGTTGATTGTGATCCAAGGCTGGCAAAGCGATGCTCGACATTGTTGAGAAAAGATCAATTGATGGGAGAAGAGAACCTTCCATGGGCTTATAAGAGGTTAGGCTACTATTCATATTACCAATTGGTTTTATGAACCCCAACTATTTTCATGGTATCAAAGCAGATTGTCTTACGTGTGAAGCTCAACAGCCACAATGTTGTCACTGCATTCTATATTTGCACAAACATTTTCCTTTTCACAACAAACTTTAAATGAGTATTGAGAATCTTGTTATTTGCCTATGGAGGATGCCGGGAGGTTAAATGGTTGTGATGGACTCCCTCGGATTTCAGTGGGATGCAGATGGGAGGGCGGCAAAGCATTACGTGTTTTATGATGCGATGGTTATTTGGCACACTGCGTTACATGTTTTTTTTTTTTTTTTTTGGTATATTTCTTTGTTCTGCCCCATGATAGTGTTCGGGCAGCGCATCTTTTGATGACGTTTTTGTTATTATAATGCTTATGTGTGACTTTCAAATGAAGCATTTTAAACTGTTCTTTGTATCATCTTATGTTGCTTGAATAAAACGTCTTATTACATTCTATTCGTCTCAACTCTCGTACTGCATAAAGAAGAAAATAAGATCTTTATAAGAGAATTCATCTATTTTCTTTTTCACGTAGAGTGTGCTGCAAGCAATACAAAGACAACTAGGGTTTTTCCCCTCTACTTATTCTGCACAGTAAACACTATATTATATCACATTATATAGGTTTTTTTCCCTTTACTTATTCTGCACAATTAACACTATATTATATCACATAATTTGATGTATCTTATTAGGTTGGAATTTCTGTTGTTATTGTTAATCATTCAAATAAATGATTAACGATCTGTAGCCACGCCGAGTAGTGATCTAGCCACGACATTATTAGGGTATGCATCGTGTGGAGGAGGTGGAGTAGTAGTAGTGTGGCCTGCAAAGTTCCTTTGGTTGATGGTTGTATCGGCAAGATCAGCAGACCTTGGGATCTTCCCATGAGGTCCACCGGGGGGAGGATCACCCTTCTGCTTCGAATCCATCAACACGATGTTTTTCTTCACCGTCGTTATCGTCTTCAAGTTTTCTTTCTCGTCATGCAACATCCTGCCTACACTAGCCACATGCAGGTCCATACTCATGAGAAATACAACTGTTACAACTGCGAATAAACAATTAAGAAACCTCATGGTGATCTATTAATCTTGTACTTATAGATATTAAACAAAGGTAGCTAGCTTAATTATGAAGGATGTGTTATGTGGAGGTTAGATACGTGTGTATTTATATGCACCAATCTGCATGACTTTCAACTTTTTAGTAAAACTTTCAAATTTCTTAAGTTGGCATCTCTTCCTACGTGTATTAGCACGAGTCTTGTAAAGAAAGTTCTGTATTTAGTTGGCATGCATTTTGGGTCACAAAGAAATCAAAACCAAACCCACAATATATGTTTCTTTGCACTTACTATGGACTTCACAATACCTTCACTTCGAGACCTACAACCGAGATTAGACCAGGCAATTTCTTACACGACACATAAATGATACGAAAATAACGGGTTTCGGGTCAACACGATAATTAATCGGGTCACACGATAATAACCCGTTAATAACGGGTCCTTAACAAGTTTACATGAGAGTGACACGTGGGTAACCTATTTCCACACGATAAGAAAAAAGTTATTTTGATGATTCTAATTTTTTAAACTACTAAAAAAAACTTACTATAAAATACAATAGATATAATGAATATGTATATATTGTTTATTAATTATCATTCTATATAAATTTTAAAATTTAAGTTTTATTATTAATTTATTTTTATAGGATATTATAGGCAAAGATTGAGATTAAAAATCATAAAACACATTAAAAATAAAAATATCAAGTAATTTAAAATTACCAAACACATTAAAAACATTATAATAATTAATTTACATGTGCAAAAAATATGAAAAAAAATATGCAAAAGCTCGTATTCGCATCCTCTACGCTTTGAGGATGGGTATATGATCATTTGAATTTTTAAAACCTTACAAACTCTCATGAATAGTAATTTTAAGGGAGTTCAAAATAAACAAAATTCATAATCATTAATGTATAAGTCTGAAATATGTGAAAGCATAATAAAAGTTCATAATTGCATCCTCAACGCTTATACGATAGTTACATGGTCATTTAGATTTTTAAAACCCTCCATATCTCATGAATAGTGTTTTTTATTTTAGTGCAAAATGAATAAAATGAATAATAATTATTGTAGAAGTGTAAAAAATGTAATCACTTGTAATGAAAAACTTTACAACTTTCATGAAGGGGTCAATTCCGAAATTTAGTATGTATATAATAATTTAGTATTATGTTTTACATTTTTTTGGGTCAAATTATGTTTCTCATTTTAATTTTTATTGATTGAAAATATATTTTTCTTAACGGGTAACGGGTCGAGTCATATTACCTGATAATATTAACGGGTTGATTTCAGATCGGGTCATATTACCTGTTTACTTTAACGGGTATACACGACGCGACTCGTTAAGCTATCGGGTATGACACGAACACGAGAAACACGACACGAATGCCAGGTCTAACCGAGATAGTGTCGCAGAAATATATATCTTCTTATATTTACAGGTTACTTGATGAGTGTTGTAGATACATTGATATTTATCTCCAATGACAAAGCAGATTCCCTCATTTTCCGTCCGAATGTTTGACCAAAATGTTAATGAAAACTTTTGGGTTGACTTGCTAATTGTATATATATTAGGACTTGAATTTCGTTTGACCAAAATGTTAATGAAAACTTTTGGGTTGACTTGCTGATTGTATATTAGGACTTGAATTTCGTATATCCCAAGTTTGAAGTCGTTGATGTATGAAAGCGAAACTTGTGGTTTGAGTTTTGACTTGTACCCCATTCTTCACGGCCAGCCAGTTTCTGCTTTAGCCGTACTAATTGCTTTGTCATGTATAGAAAATGTTGGAACTCACCAAACCGGGTGGAAAACTGAATCTTTACTTGGGAATGTCTGCATTTTGGTCTCAATTTTTGCCCATGCTACGAATTTACACTACATTCTTTTCGTTGGTTGGAAGTTTTGAAAAGACTTCACTTGTTGGGATAACGACTCGTGTTTCTAACACGAGCCGTTTTATTGTTCTCAACATGGCACGAGATGGGAGCAAAGGAGAGAGTCCGACTCTGTCCTTAGATGCAAAGTATCATTATCATACGTATAGAGGAATAAATACTCAGTGACGCTACAAACCCGGGAACCGGACTTGAAAATCATAATAAACAAATCAACTTAAAACGTAAAATTACACGGGTAAAGATTGATTAGTGCACAAGCAACAAAGCTATATAACACATCTTTACATGTATATTTGTATATAATACAAATCTATGCATGTTCTCTGGAAAAACAAATGATACAAATATATGTAACTCATGAGTTCAACCTCAACTACTTACCACTTTACTCACAGGTAAGGTATTTATCTCGGCATGCTTTACAATAGGACTAAACAAATATGCTAGCAGCAATGACCCCGAAGAACCAATATAGACAGCGCTGCACGTCAATCGGTACAATTATCAACACAGGTACAAGCAATAAGAATCGAGATTCACAAGCAAATGGTGCTCATAACTGCAGTATTGAAATCCAAGCTGTAATGGAAAGGTGACTTTGTTATGATAGATCTCCATGTCTTCTTCTTAGGATGGTATATTTGGACGTACAGTGTGCCAGCTCTCGTATGCGATCGCGGCCTGCGGATTTCTGCTGGCTCGACTGCCTTCAAAAGGGTTATTACATGCAACTCTCCATCCAAAACAACAAATCTAACTCCTGAGTTGCATGGGAGAAATTTTTAGTTGTGACGAGAACACGGATGGTACACCACATGTTTTTATACAAGTGGTGGAAAATTTTAATTTTTAAGTTATTAACCTTTTAGCACACATAATCCACCAGTTATATAAGGACACATGGTGTACCACCTCATTCACACTAAAAATCTCTCGTTGCATGGGGCCTGTCTTGGTATACGTGACTCCTTACACCAACGGTTTGAAGCCATGTCATATCTGCAGTACATATCATGTGGAGGCAACATAAGCAAAAACTTCCATAAAATTGTCACTCAAAGATCAAATTAATAACGACGAGGAAGAAATTGAAAGGACATAAATTAGATGCAGATGCATACGTCCAAAGAGACATCAATAAGAATACACAAAAGTGAATTTAAAAGTATGTGATCCCATATAATAGTATTATTTGTACTAAACTACCGACAGTCCCATAAAACCATGCATCTCAACATTTTTGATTTTGCATAAGAAAGATAAACAAGAATTTCCATCGTGTAAACCGCAATAAATCTAATAGAAAAGTAATCTAAAACATTGAAGCGTTATGTGTCAGTAGAACCTGTGTCATTTACATCATAAATTTAAATTAGTATAACCATCCAAATTAAGTCATCGCATATCCCTCAAAGGATGAAACTTTGGAACTTTTCTGTAAACTGAACATTAAGTTTTTCTTAGGGTTGTTTGTCTGTAATGGGAATGAAAAGAAAGGGAATGGGTTCCCTTCATGACTTCCCCACGTCTACTTGCATGTAATCAGTAATGGATTATCTAAAATACGTAATGAAACAACCCAATTTCAGCAATTTGAGTGTTAATCCAATTCCTTTTCCTTATTTGAGTGTTAATCCATGAACACCGGAAGATTTCAAGCTCAGCCTTCAGCATTCTCCTTATGGTGCAAAGTATAAGTACTAACAAAATCATGCTAAATCAGAGTTAGTTCAAGACATTCCCCTCTCTTAGTTGTTTCATTCCAAGCACAATATTCATATATCATATACGATATACGACCAAAGCCACCTAACAACTTCCACCAATCCAAAAAGCTCAGATATTCTTACAAAAATCATCAAGAGCTGCTATTAGCACATTAGGATTCAAAATCAAAGCAATTTTGGATACTTTCAGCCAGATCACTCTTTCTCACACTAGCGCGCGCGCACACACACAACACATGTTTTGCCCATGGTGCAAGGAAACAATGGCCACCTCAATCCAATTTCTTATACCCTAATTATTGTGTGGAAGCCCACAACAACGGGTTGCCAACAGGTCCCACACACACAAGTCAGTATTGCCGATACTCCCCTCACTTTAGCCACTTGGAAGCAACGGGTATGAGATTTTACCAAAAGGCCTAGACAATATGTGTGTGTGGTACCATTGTTTATAAAGCACTATACGACTCTTCCTCTAGCCAATGTGGGACACAAATGTGGCTCTAATCTAAGCCACCAAACTCCAACAATCTCCACCTTGACGTGATTCGAGCCATCTCCAAATTGATGTCTCACAATCCAAACGCAAAGAGAGCTCCACCTTGACCACATGCACCAAATTCCAAATGAGCTATTCAACTTCAAATATTGTGAACGCCACCAATCCCCTGGGTCTGATACCAATTGTTGTGCGGAAGCCCACAACAATGGGTTGCCAATGGACTAGTCACCAATGGGTCCCATGTTAGAATATGAGTATAAAAACATGATTGTGGAGTAGCTGTTATATTGGATGAATTTTGAATGGAAAAGTCTTGATAAAGTATTTGTGTAAATCCTATTTCTTGTAGGATTATGATTGTTTTTAGTGTTCCTTTGGGAAAAGGTTTTGGATCCTTCTCGGATTGATCTTGTACACTCATTGTGTAAAATGGTTTTTGTTTTAGAGTCCAACACTAATTCTAATAGGAGAATATGTTGGATTAATGCTGTATATAACCACAATCACTGCTCTTGCAAAGATACGGCTCATCTTGTATTGAATACCTATTGTTCAAAGAGCTCTCTAGTTTTGCTAAAGAGGAGAAGATTGTCTGGTGGTGAAGCTGTTATGGCTTCTTCGTGTTCAAGTTCTGCAGGTATGTTTTGACTAGTTTTATGCTGAGGTTTATGGTTATGTTGTTCACATTGTTTGTTGGTAGTATTGGTGATTTATTGGCATATCTATGATCCGTGACAAGGTTCCAACATGTGGTATCAGAGCCTAGGAAAGATTATTGCCATTAAGTTCGAAATTTTTGTACAACAATCTGGACAAGAAACTATAATGGTCAAACCCAGAAAACGCATAACCTGTTTTTGAACAGAACAGTTAAAAACGACACTGTTTAAAAAAAAAAGGGTTTTTTTAATTTATACCGTTATGTTCGCCGAGTTTACGTCTTTTGCTTTGCCTTGCATCTTTTCTTTTCATGGTCTCTGGGTATATGGCGATTCAATGAATAATTCATCTTCATGATTTTCTCTGATTCTTCTCGTGTCAATTTCATTCATTGATTTCTCCAAAAGGTATGTCTGCAATTTGAAACTTGAATTTAGGTTAAAAAGATTATTTGAACTAGAGAACACCGTGTATATGCAAATTTGTTAGTATCTCGCCAATTTGAATCAAAATCATCTAAATGGATAAACTGAACAATTATTTTAAAGTTTCCGTTGCTAATTTGATTGGGTTTATTGATTTTTATTTTCAATGCATGTGGTGTGATATATGAATATCATCCCTTTCGAGCATGATTCTTGAATGCAATCTTCTGTGAGTTGTTTACTCTATATATGGTTGTCTTTATCAAAGTTTGAGACCATGTGTATGACAAAATTGACTCATTATGAGGATTACATAGTGAAATTGATGGAAATCATGAATCCCAAAAGATTCAAAGTGATGATTTCATTGTTATCTTCTGCAGTTTCACTAAAAACAATGAATTTGGCCGCTGTACCTATACTCACTAGTGGGAGCAATTACAAAAAATGGAGAAGGGAAATATAATTGCTATTGACATTAAATGAGTATGATATAGCACTTGATACACCACAACCTGCGCCTCTCACTGATAAGAGTTCAAAGGCTGAGAAGGTTGAGTTCCAAAGATGGACAAGAGCTAATAAAGTGGCATTATCCATTTTGGAGAGCGGGATGACTGACACTGTTCGCGGAGGTATCAAAAGGTGTGATCTAGCAAATGACTATTTCAAAGCTATTGAGAGCAAATTCAAGGAATCACAAAAGGCTGAGATTGCTCAGTATATGACCCTTCTCACAACTTACAAATTTGAAGGTGGTGGTTCAGTCAGAGATCACATCATAAGGATGACCGATGCGGCTAAGAAGCTTAATTCATTAGACATGAATATTTGTGCAAAGCAGCTAGGGTTCATGATTCTGCAAGCGCTTCCTTTGAAGTTCAGTCAACTAAAAGTCTCTTACAACACTCAAGATAAGTCATGGACAGTGGATGAACTAATATCTCAATGTGTTTAAGGGGAAAATCGACAGAAGCAAGACAAAGGAAGGGAAGCTGAGACCATCAATTTTGTGCAGACTTCTAAGAAGAAGGATTTCAATACAAATTCTGGTAAATCTCCTCAATTCAAACATCCTGATAACTTTTGTGTCTGCTAAGAATTCCTATTCCTCTAAATCTAACAATCTTAAAGTTAAAACTAAAAACATTGAAAAGGTTAGGTGTCATCATTGCAAAACTGAAGGTCATTATAGAAAAGATTGTGAAATATTCAAAGAATGGCTTAGGGCTAAAGGTAGAACTAATGTATATGTCTGTGAGGAATCAAATCTCATTGAAATTTTGGCAAATTCCTGGTGGTTTGATACTGGTGCATCTGTGCATATAACCAATTCACCGCATGGTTTTGAAAAACAAAACAAACAAATGAGTATAACGTTTTTGTTGGTGAAAGAACCAGAGTTGTAGTTGAATCGATAGGGAAAGTGAAACTTAAATTGTCTTCTGATTTTGTGTTGGAATTGTCCAATGTTCTATATGTACCTGCAATGAGAAGAAGTCTAATCTTTGCATCTAAGTTAGTAACTGAAGGTATTATTTTCATAGGTGATAAAGAATGCATAAATTTTTTTAATAAGGGAGCCTTGATAAGAAAAGCAGTTTTGCATGATCATTTATGGAAAATGCAGTGCACATTATTGGACAATGGGTTGAGTGTTTTAAATGCAACTGCCAAAAGAATGCAAAATTTTGACAACTCTTATATGTTGTGGCATAAAAGACTAGGACATATTTCGAAGGATAGGATCATGCAGTTATCAAAATTAAATTTTATACCGACTTTAGATTTTCATAATGCATCTGAATGCATGGACTGCATGAAGGGTAAAACGACCAACTTTAGGAAAATGGATGCCAATAGAAGTAAAAATTTGCTTGAGATTATACACACAGATGTTTGTGGACCTTTTCCTATCAAAACTATTTGTGGAAATTCATACTTTGTGAGTTTTATAGATGATTTCTCCAAACATGGTTACATATTTCTAATAAAAGAAAAGTCAGCAGTCCTTGAGTGTTTCAAAATTTTAAAATGTGAAGTAGAAAAACAACTAAACCTAGTGATTAAGATTGTTAGATCAGATAGAAGAGGGGAATATTTTGGCAGGCACACAGAAGCAGGACAATAGAAGGGTCCTTTTGCACAGTTTCTTGAGTAGCAAGGTATTGTGGCCCAGTATACTACTCTAGGCACACCCCAACAGAATGGAGTGGCTGAGAGAAGAAATCGAATCCTGATTGGAATAGTCAAAAGTCTAATTTCGAGATCAAAGTTGCCTGGTTTTCTGTGGGGAGAAGCATTGAGGACATCTAACTATATGTTGAACCGAGTGCCTACAAAGTCAGTGCCTAAAACACCTTTTGAGTTATCGATTGGCAGAATACCGAGTTTTAATCATTTCCATGTGTGGGGTTGCAAAGCAGAAGCAAGGTTTTATAATCCAAATGAGAGGAAGCTCGATTCTAGAACCAGTTCATGCTATTTTGTGGGATATTTAGAGAAATCTAAGGGTTTCAAATTTTATTGTCCTCAAGCACAGACAAGAATCCAACAGACTCATAATGCAATTTTCTTAGAAGATCAAGATGTATCAGACATGGTTCGTGATACTTTTGAGTTTGAAGAATCAGAACATCTCGATGGCTCAATTCCAATGGACTACAATCATATCTCGGTGTTGCC